GGTCATTGCAGAGATCTTCTGGAACTTGGAAGGACATTTGACATCCAATAGAAGTGTCCACATCTAGCGGACCGTGGCATGGACACCTTAAGCAGGACCCAGACAGCAGAGGAGACAAGGCTCTGGGCTGTAGCATCTCACGGGATTGTGGCTTTAGATAATTAAACAGGGAATTGGGGTTTTTTATTTTTAATTCACCAGTTAGAGGGATGTGGGAGGGGAAGGGGAATTGCTAGGAAAGCTGACAATCTAAATAAATACTAAATAAATGATGTGATTGTGTATAATACCTAGCATATGTGTGATCCTTATACGAGGAGATCTCTAAGAGCAATATTTTACACAGCACTACAAATTATCTACTGCATACAGTGAGATACTAAAATGTGTATATGTAACAAAATAATGAGATGAAATAACTGTTTTCTAACCTCAGAAGTTCAATAAAACATATATCCAGTCCTCCACAAAAAAGGAAATGCTTTAAATCTTTTTTCCAGTGAATATTGTTCTTTTATACCACTGTGCCCCCCACACCGTTCCACACTCGCCAGATGTAGTGTGACCCTGCATTGCACATACTAAGGTTCCACTTCCCAACCCTACTTTATCCTCACTGTTGCAGCATAACAATGCTCATCGGGCACAAACGTTTATCATATCCAGTAAATAAAACCAAGTGCACTTGCATAATTCTGGATGCATCAAAGCATGGCATCGTTCCACACCCATAGATAGTCCAAAGGGTGCAAAGCATCAACCGGCTCCACTTGACGCATTTCATCTAGTGTGACTTTTTCAAGTGGCCGTCCATATTTTTATCACACGTTAAAGAAATTGAGGTGCTGCTTCTGTCCATAGCAAACTTGAAGGCTTGAAAGGGAAATTTATCAAAACAAGCAGATTTACACTGCAACCAATCAGCTTCTCTCTCTCATTTTCAAATCTTACCTGAGCAAACTGAAGAGAAATGCCGATTGGTTGCCATGGACAACTGCTCCAGATTCTGTTTGCTCCAGTTTTGATAAATTTTCCACTGTGTGTCTTCTCTTGCAAAACAAAAAAGTGGGCTTTGGTTTCAGGGGTGGCATTTTGGGTTTTCCTTTCTGTGGTGGGATTTTATCACACATTAATGAAATTGAGGTGCTGCTTCTGTATGTAAGCCACGCTAATTGTAACAAAGAAAAAAACGATTCCACAACCAAGCTTACACTGCCAGTGTAAGTGGTCGCTGAGTCTGTGAAAATCATACTGTCCCATAACTTCACATACAGTTTCAAGGGCCCATTCCCACCCAATGCATTTTAGCAGATTAAAAATGAAAATGCACAAATAGGAAGGACCCACCTCGCGAGAGCTTACAATCTACGTTTTACGTGCATTTTACATGCGTTTTGGTGGGAATGGACCCTAAGGTATCCCCCAAGCATGTTATGTAAGGGATTTCTGTATTTTTAATGTTGATTTAAAAGCCCCATGAAAAAACCCTCTCCCCTCTGTACATTTTTTTTTTTTTTTTGCATTGGTACATGGTCCCCCATGGTAGTGCCCAACTTCTCAACTTTTTTTGAGTGTCATTTCTCAGTGCACTGCAACACAATAGAAAGGTGTGAACTGGTCCCATACACGTCCTTTCATTTTTTGGCTTACTTTCCGTTGACATCCGTTGAAAAAAAGGATCACTATCAAATGCTAATCACTCCGCACCCGGATCATTTTATCCAACACCCTTATATGGTTCAGTGGGAAAAGGATCTGGGGGTCCCTATAACG